ATTAATGGGAAAATTGCTTTCCGAAGAGGAAATGTGTCAGGAACACCTCAGCCATCCCCACCGAAGGAGATGCACGTTGCACTGTGCCAGTTTGTACCTGCTGAAAGGTGATTTGCAATTTATAGACATAAACTGAGGTGTTGCTGACAGGCTGGGCCTAAATGGCAGCTGTGACTGAAGTCATTCCTTTACTGCATGGCTGAGTGTCTGTCTCTGCCAGGGTCTGATTAGCCAGGTTTCCTTCATTATTTATAAAAAGCAATATGCCATAAAAATGTCATTTTCACTGCCTAAATCATAAAAATTTCCATTAAAACCTTCTGCCATAAGGTCCTAGAGAATATTCATCCCCAGGCTCTGACAGGGAGGTAGAAATGGGTATTCATTCCCAGCAGCAGTGAATTCCAAAAGTTTGCAGTCACCAATCTGTGCAATGTTAAAGGGTGGGCTTTTTTCTAAGCTTCTGTTTTGGTCAGGAATCTCAAAAACAAGGTGGGATCAAAACCTTCCTGTGGAACCAGGAGGGATCAGATTAATCTGTGACATTAATTTAGCAGGATCCCATGGATTTATAGCAGAAATCTGGGGGGATGTATCTAAACCTACTTGAGCTCCTGTGTATCCCTGCCCTGTGTCTGTGCTGATCCTGCCAATCCCAGCTCAGAATTAGTCCCAGCTCAGAAACACCTCCCAGGAGAGTCCCTGGCCTTTGAAACAAGATACTCATGATAAAAAAACTTGTTGGATGTGACTTCAGAGCACCAGATTTAGGAAATGCTGGATTTCCTTCCAGCCCATGTCTTGCCCCAAAGAACCCCAAGCTTTGCTTGTGAAACCTCACCACAATTCCTGCAGCCTCCCAAGGCAGGCTTGGTCTGTGTCCCTGCAGGCTCCCACTGTCCCTGCAGAGCTGGGAGCATTCCCTGTGGGCCTCCTGTGCTGCCTTTGGGGTTTCAACACCCACTCTGTGATTCAGGTGTTGGACATGGAGCCACAAGTTTGGTTCCCTTGGCCGGATTCCAAGGACGCTGCTGGGAACACGTCTGGGATTTGGGGATTTGGGGATTTGGGGATTTGGGGATTTTGGAGTCCATCACTGGCAAAGCTGCCAAGAGGTTTGGCCTCACGAGAGGGGCTCTTTTTTATTCTGGAGTTTAAACACTTACCTGTTTCCCCCATTCAGAATACAGGCCTGTTACTCTTTTACCTGCTTTCCCCACTCCCAACTGTAATTTTTCATTCAGGCTCCTCCTATGCTTAGAATTTCTTTTCCTTTCTCCTTGAGAATCCTCCTTAAAAACATCTTGGTTTGGGAACACTCAGGAGTTCTCCTTCTTACTGTAGCAGTGTTTTGGTGAGGGCTTTGTTTTTCCTTTACACCATCTATAAAGAGAATTTTGTTTTCCCCTTATGAAACCTCGGATAAGACTTGGAACTTCTGTGTTCCCTGGGTGTGTTGCCCATAAAATACAGGTACAAATAGACATGTCAGTGGTGGTGTGGAAATTACTCAGGATTATGAATCACACTGAAAAATACTATAGGAAAGCTGAGGCTGATGCTGTTAGTCATTCTGCAATGGCAAAGGGAATTATGGGCTCAGTGGAAGAGAGATGCAAGTCAGTGCAGAGTCAATCTCTTTCTGCTTCTGACATGTGGAAAACATCTTCTAAATGTCTTTGCTTTCACTGTTATTAGCAAAATGAGCAGCTTCTGAAAGGGTTAAAGGAGGTTTGCCATAACCTTCACTTTCCCCTCAGTTCTTGTCATTTATGAGATTTAATGAAGATATTAAATAAATCTGATGTTTCCTTTTTCTGTTTCCACTAATTAGTCCCAGTCAATCAATAGAAATCCACATTTTCCCAGCTGGTTTAGAGTCAAAAGATACTGAATCTGAACTTGTTTTTTCATGTCACATCCAGAGCTTTGGAAGAGTGTTTTGGCAGGCTTCCCTGTGGGCACAGCTCCCATTCCCAGAGTTCTCTCCCAAGCATTAAGAATGGAAATAAGCAGCTCAGAATTTTCCAGTTTAGCTCAGGCTCTGTGTACGTTAAGAGAAACAGAAGCACAACCACAAGCACAGCAAAACCCTTCATGTGGCCAGAGAGCTGAACTTGAACTGGGGAAACTGGCACAGACTGGTCCATGCTGGGCTCACACATTGCAGCCCACGTTTGTCCTGCTGAGGGGGGACAGTGACTGAGGCACGAGACCACCAGGAAGCTTCTCCATGGGAAGAAAATCTTTTAAACCCAGAGGCAGCCTCAGAAATGTCTCAGTGATTTTACTCTGAAATGGTCTTGCTTGTAGGAAACCATCAAGGCCACTGTGATAGAAAGAAACACTTTTCATTTTCTCTCTGCTCCTCAGGCTTGGCTTGTGGAAACTGCTTAAGTGAGTGACTGAAATAAGCCACACAGATATATCTATGTATCTGTATATCTATGTATCTGTATATCTATATATCTATATATCTATATATCTATATATCTATATATCTATATATCTATATATCTATATATCTATATATCTATATATCTATATATCTATATATCTGTATATCTGTATATCTATATATCTATGTATATATATATTTATAGATATAGATACAGAGATCTAGATATATAGAGATATAAATACATAGAGATATAGTGTCTATTTTTGGGTGCTTTTCTCCTCTCAAATGTTGAAAAGGTGCTCCAGAGCATCTATTCTTTGGAGGAAAGAATTCCTAGGATAATACAGTCTTACAGAGAACATGATCTGGGAAAAATCCTGAGGCAGAGCAGGGATGGGGAAAATAAAATTGATTCCTGATGTCTCTTTGAGGGTTACATCCAGCTCTTATGAAACTTAGTGGGAAACTTTCCTGCTCTTGTAATGAGAGCTGGGCTGGTCCTTGGGGTATCACCAGAATAAAGCAGAGCTATAACTGGTAGTAGGCACAGACAGATGAAACTGAAACATGTAAAAAAACTTTATTAGAGACAAGAGACTGAATTGTGGCAAAGCTGTCCAGTTTACTGAGGATAACAATAATCAGATTTAATGATTCTTCTTTTCCTAATCTCGAGTTGATGGAACCTCACAGACACTCTGCTCCATTCAGAAAATGAGTGACAGAACTCCTCCACATCAGAGCTCTGAACAGGCACCAATCTTGACTGAGCTCCAGTTCCTAGAAGTATCCTGAATCTCATGGGCACTGGATTTGCTTTTACTAGCAAATTTTCCTTCCTGTGTTTTACCCATTTTCCAGGTTTTCCTAGAACAAGAGCACATTTCCAACTAATTTATGCTAATTGAAAATCATGTTTTCATAGGATGAGACATCCCTGAAATGCAATTTTCCTTTTGACTGAAGTCTTTAAAACCCAGAGCATCTGAGCCTAAATTCCATTTTCAATGTCCTATGAAATTTGTAGCATTAAAAGTCTCAAAGACCTTGGCTTATTGTTAAAAGGTGATATTAAATATATGAATATATTGCCTTATGCACTTTTCCCCTAGTAGATAAAATGGTCATTCCCCTTAAATAGTAACACAGTGCCCTGCAATGCTGAGCACTGCTGGAATGGCTCTAAGTTAAGCTTCAAATTTTAATCTCTCTCTGAGCCACATCCTGTTTTCAGTTAACTGATCTCATATGGGGGAAATTCACCACAGGAAATCTCTCTAGTTTGGAAAGTACCAAAACCTTATCTTTAGTTTCTTTGTGTAATTCAGCACCTTTGGAGACAGAGGTGTAACAGAATCACAGAAACTTTCAACAAGTCTCAAAGCAAGAGAAAAGGAGTGAGTTAAGGGCACAGGGAAGAGGTGGAGCTGCCACTTCATCCCTAAACCTGACCCTGTGGTGTCACACTGATCATTCTAAAATTAACATCTTACACTTCCTTATATCCCCAAAGTTTAAAAACCCATATCTAGAGATCTTTTCGTTTCTGAAAGAGATTTTAACTCACATCCGGGCAGAAACCGCCTGGGCCAAATTAACTTAAAATGAATTTTACCAACCTAAATGAGAGCAAATGGGTCAGGCCAAGGCCTCACTGGGGCTGAATCACACTTTGCTCATGGCTTTGAGTTAATGCCCAGCCCTGATGACTCTGAATTACAGATCCACATCAGAGCAGCACCTCCAGATGTGCTGTGGGTCAGCACAGGGAGGAGGGAGGTGGAACTGAGCTGTGTGTTGTGTCTGTCTGTGCACACCCAGCATGGGAAGGTGCCAGACTTGAGGCAAACCCTGCTGTGCAATAAATCCCTCAGCAGCCACCACACACCCACAGGTACCTGCAGCTGGTACCTGCAGCCAGTGAAGCACCTAGGGAAACACCTCTGCTTTTTATTTTTCATTCTGAGCAGGGCCTCACCCCCAGGGATATTCCCCACAAGGAAGAGTGAACAACTTTGCATGTACAACTCTTTTTCTGACTGAACCCTCTGTCAGAACCAGAGAGGCTGGCAGCAAAGCGAGCTGTGTCAGGGGTGAAGAGAACCTTCTGCTGATAATGAAACTTCGCTTTGTAGGATCTCTGCCGCACTCTAAGAAGGCTTTGCAGACGTTACTGAACCCTTGACTTTCCCTGCTGTGCTACCCCCGGGCTGCGTGGGCGGCTGAGGCACAGCGGGACTGCCCCGCCGAGGTTTCCCGGAGGCTCCGGGGAGAATCGGGGCTCCCGTCCCGGATTTGGGGCAGGGGCTGTCCCGAGCACCCAGGGCCGTGCAGGGGATGCTGGCGCTGTGCCCCCGCCCTGGGCACTCAGGACTTTCTGTCTGAGTCCCGGATCACCATGGCAGACCCAGCTCGGCTGCGCTTTCAGGAACCAGCCACCAGATTCTCCATTTCAGCTGACCCGGGGGAATTCGCTCCGCGGGGCTTTTCCTCAGCCAATTCCCCGTGCCCGCAGCCCGGGACAGCTCCGGTGACCCGAGCAGGGGAAGCCCCGCTCCCGCCAGCCCCGGGGCGCGGCTCGGGCTCCCCGCTCCTCCCGGCCGGAGCGAGGCAGCATCGCCCAAATCCAGCGGAGCCGCAAAGGCTCCGGTACCGCGGTGAGCGCCCGCCCGGGGCCGGCGCGATCAGGTACGGGAGAGGCGGGGATGCAGGAAGGGATGGAGGGGAGCGGGAGAGAGGCAGGGAGGGATGGAGGGGAGCGGGAAGGATGCAGGGAGGGATGGAGGGGAGCGAGAGGGAGGCAGGGAAAGATGGAGAGGACGAGAGGGAGGCAGGGAGGGATGGAGAGGAGCGGGAAGGATGCAGGAAGGGATGGAGAGGAGCGGGAGGGAGGCAGGGAAGGATGGAGAGGAGCGGGCCCCTCTGCGGAGCTCCGGGCACACGGCCCCTGTCCCCGAACCGAGCCCCGGGTACACAGGTCCGGTCCCCGAACTGAGACCCCGGAACAGCGGGGACTGTCCGGGGGTCCTGGCCGCTCTCCGCCCCGCCGAGCCGGGATGGGCACAGGGACCCCCGGGCCCGCAGCGCTCCGTGCCGGGGGCTGCAGGAGCCGGGGCTGGGCCAGCGGGAGCCGGGGCTGGGCCAGCGGGCGGGGGGAGCAGTGGGCGGCTCGGCTGCCCCGACACCCACCCGCGACACCTCCGGCTCCATGACGTCGGTGTTACCGGGTTTAATTCAGGGCTCCGGTGTTACCGGGTTTAATTCAGGGCTCCGGGCAGGTTGGGCGGTCACTGCGGGGCTCCTGCTCAGATGCCGGCAGAGGCCACGGGAATTGGCCCAGCCAGGCCATGGAAAACGTTGCTTGTCCCCAGGCAGAGCCTGAAGCCCGGGCTGTGCCCTGCCCACGTCACGGCAGTCACACCCCCAGCCCGGCCTGCCCACGGCAGCCTGGACTCGTTTATTTTCGGATTTCTTAGTGTGGTAATACTGAGACAGGTTATGATGCGTCTGTGCTGTTAAAGGAAAAAAAAAAAAAAAAAAAGGGTTTATGAAGGGATTGTTATAATCAAACTGCACCAGTTCCCTGGGTGAAAACCTTCCTTGGATTTTCCAAGAGACATCAGAATCGGTTTCGGCTGCGTTTCCAAAAATATCCCACTGCACAGCTCTTATTGAGCAAACCAAAGTGAATGTGCACACCTTGGCACATGTGGCTCCAGGTGCTCAGAGCACAGCACTAAGGGGCTGTGGACTTGGGATTTCCTTTGTCCCTTCACCACAAGTTTTATGACTTCAGGAAAGTCACTGTCAACACACCAGCTGCTCAGTTTCTGTGTCTATGCAGTGAAATCACGGATTTCGGCTGCTGAGAATTGAATGTGCTTGGGGATTTACTGTGCAGAAACAATCCTGTGTGATGAGAACTGATGAGACTGGAGCTCATCTTCCTACAAGCTGAAAACTCTTGAAAGAAAACCCCAACCGCCCTTTTTTAGGGCCGTATCTATTTTTGTGTTGTGTTTAAGGGAAATTTTAAAGGTGTGCAGTAATTTCCTGCTGGTGGGTGCGAGGTCAAACCCCAGTGTGACATTTGGTCACGCCTGTCACTGCAGACCCAGCCAAACTCAGCGTGGCTTCTGCTCAGCTTTGGGGCTGCTTGAGGACATCCTCTCACATCCCAGCGAGTGTGGGCCTTGTTTGAGCACCTGGATTTTATCTCCTCTCCGACAGTGCTCACTTCACATGGCTGAGAACACCCCCAGGAGCCTGCAGGACACCCCCAGCTCTTCCCCCGATGAAAACGAGTTTCCCTTCGGGTACCCCACCAACATTTGTGAGGATGTGCCTGGTCAGAAATTCCTGTGCAGCAACTGCAACAACATCCTGAAGAAAGCCCTGCAGACGCTCTGCGGGCACAGGTACTGCTCTGCCTGCCTCACCTGGATCGTCAGGTACGTGCTGGGCTGTGCCCGGGGGCACTGCCAGGCTGGCAGCATTCCCGGGAGCTGGGCTGTGCCACCCAGCTCGGGGATGGCTCCGGGGCTCCGTGGCTGCAAGGATTTCCCGTGGTGGGCTCCAGGATATTCCCTTCCTCCTCCTCTATGTGTGACATGATAATTCTCATTGAATGCTGATTAAGGCTGCCTTAATCCTCCCATGGCACTTTTCAGCCCTTTGATAAGGAATATAATGGGGTTCTAATAAATATATTTTCATGTGTGTCTGTATCTGTCTGGGCAAAATGGGCGTTTTCTGTGTTTTAAAAGACTTCAGTTTTCACATTCTCCTTCCTACTTGGAGTTTTTGAATCATTCATGGGAGAAAGAGTTTTCCATCTTAATTCCTATTTATGGTTCAGACTGCCCTTATTTTACTGAATACAGGTAAGATTAATGGGCATAGTCCTAACCTTGAAAAACAGAAGAGCAAAACTTTTTTGACATCAGTGTGTACAAGAATTGGCCCTTTAGTGAACGAGGACTATGGATTCTGAGTGGAAATCACAATTTTCATGGTTTTATTTGTGTCAGTGCCTATACAAAAACTTCCTAAACTGCAGTGCACCAATGGATTGTTATTTAAATCTTCTTTCTTTTTACTAGAAACAATAAAAATGCAATTTGCCAGAAATGTAAAGAGGAAGATCCCAACACTTTAGGTGAGGAAAGCCTGTTGGCAGAAGAAAGGGTAAGTTGCAGTTCACAGATCATTAATTTATCATTTACCATTCTCTGTAGTCATCATTGGATTGGAGTTCAGAAGGGAATCATATAAAATGTAATAGCAGCTGATAGTTACACATTTTAACCTAGGCTTTAATAACTTGGATTTCCCGGAGTTTTTGATTTTAAAAAGTGTAATGGCAGCCTCAGGACTTTCCAAATCCAGGTTCTGCAATGTAAAATCCCAAACTCTACCATATAATTAACTTTTTATTGTCTCAAAGAAACTGGTGCTTTCCTACTTGTAATAATATGTCTTAACTGGTATTTATTATCCTCAGGAAGATTTTAATGGATTTTCCAACCTCATGGTTTCTTGTACCCTTCAAACATGAAGCTGAACAAAATAATTGATACAAACTATGCCCTGGCAAATGTTTCATCTGTAATTTCATGGTGCAGATCTCTCCTTGTGTGATTTTCCAGGCAAATTGCTGTGCTGTTCTATATCCCAAATACAAACTGGGCCATAAGGCCCAGCCTCTCTTTTTCCCTCCTCTCTGATTATGTGCAGGGATATCAACAGACACATAATTTGTCTAAATTTTTTTAGGGGGAATTAAAAACAAATAGGCAGCCAACAGTGCCAAAAAAACCAAAGTTTAGGAAGCAGCAAAATAATGGATCTGCTGCTAATGCTGAACTTGGTAATATCCCAGAAAAAAAAATAAAAAAAACCCCCAGTTCTGCAATTAATTTCCCAAGAAATTTCCAGCACAAATAGGTGCAGCTGAGCCCTCCTGAGCTGCTCGTGCTCTGGCTCTCAGTTTGGGATTTCTGTGCTCTGGGATTCTCCCCGATGTGCTGGGGCTTTCTGCAGGCTGTGCCTGGGTGGTTGTGAGCAGACCCCACTCGGGGCTGCAGGGTAAAAATTCCTTTCCCTGCTGGGTGTCCTGATGGAGCCAGGCTGCAGGGAGGGAGGAGGATCTGCCTGTGCAGATCGTTCCCAAAAAATGCTGGGTAGATTTTTCAGGAGCTTTGAAATGTGGCCATTGTTTGTAAATACTTTCCTGTTTGTAAAGCTTTCCCCTCCCAGCCCTTGCTCTGTGTTATTCCACGTGAAATCTGCATTTCTCTGCACTGTACTTACCTCCAGACTATCCAAAAAATGCCTTTAACTGTGGCAGGGCCTTTTCTCGTGCCAGGGTACCGATTTCAGTGCAAATGTGCAGTATTTCAGCATCACACAACAATAGTACAATTCCTTGTGTTTAAATAACACAAAACTCTACATAGTGCAAAGAACAAACCTCTCTCCCATCTGGTTCATATTTTTTTATTTTTTTTTTTTAGCACACAGTGCCTGCTAAATGGAAACAGCCCAGATCTGAGCAGTGCTCTCAGAGCAGAGTTCTGTGTGCAGCACGTTTAGGAGGTGTTAATGACCCCGATAATGAAATGCATTCATTAAGGGACCCCACAGTCAGGGTCCTGTCAGCGCATTCCCTGCATGTGAAATATTTCAGGCTCCTGTGAAAAGAAAAGTAAAATAAGAGCTGTAGTTGGCTGGGCTTATTTTCAGTGAATTAATGTAGTGTCAAGTAGATTATTTTTGAGTGCTAAGAAATAAATGATTCAATAATTATTTGGGCTTCTACTACACTAAGATTAACTTGCCAGGTCGCAGAGTCTTATGCAATGTAAATATATAAAAAAAAGTAAAGACTTATCAAGGTATGGATATTTACCACCCTATTCCTATTCCTATTCCTATTCCTATTCCTATTCCTATTCCTATTCCTATTCCTATTCCTATTCCTATTCCTATTCCTATCCCTAAAAGTACTTTCTCACAGATGTTTTTTTTTTTCCTTACTTTGTTTTCTTTCCAGGCTTTTGGTGATGCTGCCATTAATAAAGAGATTTCTGAACTCAGAGTCCACTGTGTGACCCCTGGGTGCAGCTGGTCTGGTATCATGAAAGATTTTGAAGTATGTTTAAAGAGAGTTTATTCAAATTAATATGGAATGGGGACAGAGAGGCAATGGAACCGAGATATCAGCAGGCACAAATTAATGTAATTAATTAGAATCAGTGTCAGGATTGTGATTTATACCAGTGTTTTTGTCTAAAAATGTGCCATTAATCTATGGAAGGTTCCCTGCCCATGGGTCCCTTCCAACCCTTCATGGTGTGGTTCTGTGATTAACTTTAGCAGAGTTTTGGCCAAATCCAGAACATCCTGAATTAAATTCAGGATTTCACTTTGCACGAATTTACATCAACTCGATATTTTCCCCAGTGGTTTCCTTATTGTTTAAATGCAGGGCAGTTACAAGCAGGTTGTGACAGGGCAGAATATTTCAGTCTCCAGGACACTGTTCAGGCAATGTCCTGGCCATGTTTTATAGGAGAAATAATTCCCTCCTCTGGCAGTGTATTGATTATATTCATCATTCTGTTCAGGCTGATCTGAAATGCCTCAGTTAAAATATTTAAATGGGCAAGATTTGTGAATCTGCCATGCAAATTTGAGTGATGAGCACAAGGGTGAAAGCTGGGACCAGGATAATATTATTTTTAAACAAAAGCCCTAAGAGAGGCTGTTTAAGGGAAACCTCGTGTTTGAATTTACCAAATGTGGTTTGGTTTTGAGATTTCTTTTTTTCAATCAATAATGAACAAAAAAAACCCCAGTAAAGTTGGTGAATTTTTCACCAGTAATCTCAGTAACTTTGTGCAGTGGGACTTTACCCAAGCTTAGAAGAAATGCAGATCAGAGCCCTTGGGCTGCCAGAACAGAGACTATTTATAGATAAACGTGAATCAGCACTTTACACGTTGCTTTATAACATTTTACTTCCAGGAGCATCAGAGTTTATGTGAATATGCTTTGATCCCTTGTCACACTGGCTGTGGGCACGTGGTGATGAGAAGGAAGCTGGCAGACCACTTGGAAAATGGATGTGTCAATAATGTGACAGTGTGTCAGCAGTGCCACTGCAGCCTGGCCAGCTCTGAATACCAGGTAAGAACATTTCTCTCTCAAATAAAACCTTTCTATTGATGGTTTCAATAATCTGTGATGCCTTTTTTTTTTTTTTTCCATCCTGATTTTGTTGCTCTCGGGGAATATTTAATTTTCCTGAGTTGGATCATTTTTTTCCACACAAGTTTTGGAGGGGAAAATGGATGTGATGATCTGCTGGTGATGTGACAAAGTGCCCGTGTGCTCCCCTGGGCCCAGGTTTCAGCTCCTGGCTCAAAATGTGTCCTGGTGTGAGGTGAGAGAAAACCAGAAAGGCACAGACAGCAACAGGGAAGGGATCTTGAAAGTTTATTCCAGTTTGTTCAAACTAAAACTACCCACAAATGTGTAGGGCAGGGTTCTGTCAGATATCTCTATTAGATCTGATCAGGTATAAATCTCCAAATCATCAATAGTGTCCATAGACCAGGAAGATCTCACTCTGAATCTGCCACAAACATCTCAGTGCCCATTCAAACATATTTGCTTTATAATTTTTTTATGTTATTTGCTCAAAACAATGAATATTGTTGCCTCCAAACGTTTTAAAGGGAATAATTGCCAGCCTTGCAATTGGGCAGGGTGATTAAAGACCCACATGACAGGAGGGCTGTGGATATTTCAGAGGTGTAAATAGTTCTGGGTAGCTCTGTGTGCCCAAAGTGTCACAAAGTGGTGGCACATTGAGCTGAGAGATTTGTAAGAGATTTATAAGGGATTTAGAAGAGGTTTAGAAGAGATTTAGAAGGGATTCCTGGGGTAAGAATCAGGTGCTCTGCTAAAATCTGCTCCTTGGGAAGGTTTTGCTCGTGCTCTTCATCCTTTAGTGACCTGCAGAGAGGAGAACCTGATCCAGGCACATCTTCCCAGTGCTAAACCCAGCGTTTCCCAAATCTCTGAGCACCAGAAGGTGGCAACACTAAATCCCTGCCAGCCTTCCCCGAGTGCAGGATGGGGCTGGAGGGGGAAACCTGAGCTCGGTGAAACCCTGAGCAGCCTCCTGTGGCACCGCAGCTCCAGCGCTGTTTTCCTCCCACTCACTCCACTCAGCCACCACCTAATTTCATATTTTGGTTGGGAAACCTTGGCAACAGAGCAGGGGGGTTGGCCTTGACGTGTGGCTTTTTCTCTGCCTCCTTTAGTATTTAGTGTAGAATTCTGGGTATATGATCTGCTTTAATAAATATGCGCCCAGTTCAGAATTTTGATTATTTTATTCCATGTGTCCACAACCCTCTGGGAGAAAATAGTAAATTTTGGGTGCTCCTCTTGCTCTCTTCATCTTGTTCATTCAGTTTTAAGTCTTGTGATTTTTTTTTTAATTTCTCTATTTTTAAATAAACTTTTCTGAAGGAGAGTGCCTCTCCCCCTCAAGGAACTGGTGATCTGAAGGACTAAAAGAGCAGAAATGAATAAGATCACAGGCAAGATAAAGAGTGTTAAAATATGAGTTAGAGGGTGAGAAAAACCCGTGGCTGCATTTCTGAGAATCGAAAGGGAAACCTCAGAACTGGTATGCAAAGGAGCTTGTGAAGATTAAAGCCACCCCCTCCTGAAGAGTGTGAAGGGAAAGCTGCCATGTTAAATACAGATATTACAGAACCCGTTGACTGGAAGCCTCCTGTGAGTGCTGGTGCATTTTGTGTTAGCTCATCATGATGGAGAATTTGGATTCCAGCCTCCAAAATGCTCAGGAGCAGGATGCAAGGGGGGTCTGCACATTGAGCAAAGTGTATGGAATCAACACAAGAAGAGTTTATATTTGAATTATATTTAAATTGGAATTTATATTGGAGTTTCCTGTGCTGTAACCTGTTTATGTTCATATATATATATATCTGTATATATTTGAATTTCCTGTTCTGCTGGTCATTGTAGCTTCCTGTTCTGTAACCCCCTGCTTGTCACTGCATGTATGTGAGTGCACATTTTTGTCTGTGTGCTCATAACTTTGGTTCGAGCCTGGCAACACCTGCACATTGCCAGTCTTGTCTCCAATATCCCAGGGTGACCTTTAATTCAACGATTAAATAAGGTACTGAACTTTCTCCTTCTTGTTTTAATGACAGGAGCATTCATGTGAAGGAAGTTCATGCAAGGAACAAAAACCTGTGCAAACAGAAACAGCATCAAAGGAAAAGGTAGGTGAAAGATGAGTGAGTGCAATGCACTTTATTTCAATTAAGAAAATTATTACTTGTTCATTTAGATTAAATGAACACCTGAGAACATCTTCAGTTGTGTCTGGCTGCCCTTTCCATCCCAGCAAAGCCCTGCTGACTGCCTTCCCTTCCCTGCTCCCACAATAACCTTCACTAAATTATCTTGTAGATAATTAATCACAATTCATTGTAAAATGGGCAAAGATTTGTTTTCTCTCATACCCTGAGTGAGAGCCACATGCCAGGAGTGTGCTGTGTATTTGCAGCACCTTCTTTATGAGAAATTGTTACCAGCTGATCCCTGTGGTTCATTCAATTATGTTCTGTCATTATGGGGTGTGTGAGATGGACACAGCAAACTTGCTATCAAACACACTCTTCATTGATTTATCATCAATTTGCAAAGTTGATTGGGCACTGGAAGCTGTGGAATTACCTTGAATTAATCTGAGTTACAGCTGCTGGGTTTGTGGCTTAGGTGTTTGTAGGGAAATAAAAGAATTCCCTCCAATTGATTTTCGTTATTTCCGCTGCATTTTTGTTTTCAACAGAGCCACTCCACATCCTCAGCCAAGGATGGGTGTTGTTTTTCTGAAGTTGGCTGTGAATTTAGGGTGAGTGAAACAAGTCCCTTCAGGAATATTCCACCCTTCCTTATACATTCCCTTCAGGGAAGTGGCTCTTAAAACAGAACCAGCACCTCTGATGCCAGATGATGGAGCTGCACCTGCACCTTGCAGCTTTTCCATCTCCCAGGGGGCTGAGGATTGCTGGGTTTGGCCCCAGGCTGGTTGTGGTGGGCATGGAGGGTGCAATGACAGCGTTGTCTCTTCCAGGGGAGCAAAGAGAAGATAATTGAGCACGAAAAATCCGCCGTGGGGGCTCACATGCTGCTCCTGCTGCAGCACATGAGGCAGCTGCGGGGGACCCTGTGCTCTGCTGCCAGCGCTGCACAGAGCTTCCCACAGCCACAGCTGAGCTTGAAGAGTGCAGGAAAAAGCATCTCTGAGCTGCAGATGCCAGCAGGGCTGGAGTTCAGCAGGGATCCAGAAGTGGATTGTTTCCCTGCCTCTTCTGCTCCTGAGGATGAGCCTGTCCTGCAGCAGCTCGTGAGGGAGAAGGTGATTGCTGAGCTGGAAAATAAACTGCAAGTGTTTGAGAACATTGTGGCAGTGCTCAATAAGGAGGTGGAGAGCTCTAATTTGGAAATCCTGGCCTTCAGGAGGCAGAGTGAACTGGACCAGAACATAATACGGGGCCTTGAACTGAAGGTAAAAAATGACAGCAAGGATTGTCTGGGCTCTTGTTCTACAGACAGCAAATACTGACACACATCAGGGAGAGCTGGGGATCAGAGCAGGAGCTTGAGCTGTGAAGGGCTCAGCTCTGGACTCACATTCAGGATCCTTTTGTTGTTTGATATATTTTCAAACATGGGTCTCTAATATTTGTTCTCTAAATCCACGTTTAGGTTGTGAGATATTCCTGAGAGTTCTGAGTGTTAGAGTTTTTCATGATCAGACTGTGAGCAGGCAGGAGAGCCTCTCACAGCAGCATTTTGCCTGGAGGCCCAAACAACATCTCTGTGTATGTTTTGACACATTGCTGTCACTTAGGAAGGAATCAAAGCAGAACTTCCAGAACTCGAGTGCTCCAGAAGGATTGAGCCACCCCTGCAGCACAGCCTGGAGCAGGGGAGTGACTGAGGATTTGTTTTTTTTTCTCTCAGATTGCAGAGTTACATCGCTGCCTGACACAGAAGGATGCAGGTCTGAGCAGCCTGCACAAGAGCCTGCTGTTCTCTGAGCAAGCCTCCTACGATGGGATCTTCCTCTGGAAAATCACAGAGGTGGGCAGGAAGCTCCAGGACTCTGTGTCTGGCAGGACAGTCAGTTTGTACTCCCCAGGTAAAGCACGAGATGGAGATGTGTGTTCACAATCCCCAGCCCTTCAGAACTCCCCCCGATTTCTCCAAAACTCTGCTTCCTTCTGCTCGTGCCAGCAGGAGGATCCTTAAAACAGCTCCTTAAACCAGGATGCTGTTTATGCAGAGATCTGTGATCCAGGCACTGGGATGTGCTTTTCCAGAGGGCTGTGCTCTGGTTTGGGCTCTCATCCTGCTCTCTGCCCTCCACCACAGCTGCTCGCAGTGGATCCATCCCTGCCAGAACCTCAGCTCGGTGCTGCTGGCACCACTGCCTGCAGCTCTTTCCCATGTGGGAAGTAATTGGATTAAGTAAAATACACTTGTGTGGCTAATAACAGGTAATTTTCACCAAGGTTTGAGGCACTAAAAGGATTCCAACCACTGGGTTTTCATTGCTTGTAGTCTCCAGGGGGTGCTGATTTGTCTGCTCTCCTTTGTGTGAGAGCAAACCACGTCACACGTCACCTTTTCCCATATGCCAGAACACACATTATATTTTTTTTCCCCAAAAACCTCCCACCTTTACTCATGAAGAGTTCTGATTTTCAGCTTTCTACACTGCAAAATATGGCTACAAGGTGTGTCTGAGGGTGTACCTGAACGGGGATGGGACAGGGAAAGGAACCCACATGTCCCTGTTCTTCGTTGTCATGAAAGGAGACTACGACGCTTTGCTCCCGTGGCCTTTCAAGCACAAGGTAAGAGGGGAAACCTTTCCACGGCTGATCCCAGCCAAAAGTCAGCTCGAGGTGTCTCTTCCTCTGGAGTTTTGTGGAAGCTGAGTGCTTTTGCACATCCCTTTCCTGCAGTCCTGGGTAATCCTTTGACTGAAAGCTGCTCCTGCTGATGTTCCAAACTTTGCCAGGCAGGATTTTCAGACACCAGGACGTGGGGTTTGGAATGTTCCAAGCTGTGCCCACCGGGGCTAAAAACAGAGACACATCTTCTCCTGGCTCTTGCTAAACATAGATGATATCAGTTCAGGAGGAAATTATGATTTGCTGTCAGAAGGGTGAGGTGTGAGTTCCACTTAGAAATGTGCCACTCATGTCTGAGGTAATCCTGGTCTGATTTTTTTGCCCTAAGTGTGATCTGATAATGACAACAATGGTTAAAAGCAGTGAAACCATGACAGGGCCTGATCTCTGCTCTGGCACTTGCCCTTGTGGGGTAATAATTCCATGAGCCTTTCCTATAAACAGTTTTACTGCCAGTTAACAGCCAAAAAAATAGAAATCAAAGTTTCCAATCCTCACTGTATTAAAAGATTATTACATATATTTCATATTTCAGGCTATAGAACAGTGAGTTAATAAAAGGGTAACGAGGTGGGCAGATTCTATTCTGATATTTAGGTTGTGTCTTTTACATATTTGTGCAGAGGCAACTGAGCTGTTTCCTCTGATTCCAAACCACAATAACAGAGTAAATGTAATGATTGTAACCAGACCCAGGGGCTGTTTAAGTTGTCAGGAGAGACAGAGGCAAAAAGCCTTTGGACTGTGCAGTTTTCTACCAAGGAATAATTCCTTACTTGATTTAATTTAATTTTGTTTTATGGGTAGCAAAGTTTTAAAAACTTCATCTGGGAGTTCACACGAACTGACCTTGCAGGTTGGAAAATTGGTTAGAGTTTGTATTTAATTATCAGTGGAGCATCCAGCTGCTTTTGCAGCACTCCTGTCCCTGCTTGGTTTGTTTTCACTCCAGTAACTCCTCATTGCCACGTTCTGTTTTTCAGGTGACTTTTATGTTGCTTGACCAAAATAACAGGGAACACATAATTGATGCCTTTCGCCCAGACCTGACTTCTGCTTCGTTCCAGAGGCCAGTGAATGACATGAATGTGGCCAGTGGCTGCCCCATGTTCCTGCCCCTGTCCAAGCTGCAGTCCCCCAAACACGCCTACGTGAAGGAGGACACGCTTTTCCTGAAATGCATCATAGAAACAAATTAACAAATCCTCAAATATGGCTGGCTGGGGAAGGCACCTGTTGAATGGCAATGGATTATGAGACAAACCTCATCAGTCTGAGATTCTGTGTTAATTTGTGTGTACACAAAATCCCCAGAACCTGAGGCTGCACCCCTTGAACCCACTGCCATCAGCTGCTGGAATGGGATTTTTCCCCGGTGCAGCAGCTGCTGGAATGGGATTATTTCACCAAAGCAGCCAATTCTCATGGTTTAGGTGTCAGCCAGTGTCACCCACCCTGCCCTGCTGGAGAAAAGCTGCTCCTGCTCACTGCTGGCCCAGCTGTGGCTCTGCCAGGCAGGGACTGGGGCAGAATTCCCTGCCCAGGGAGGGACTGGGGCAGAATTCCCTGCCCAGGCAGGGACTGGGGCAGAATTCCCTGGCCAGGGAGGGACTGGGGCAGAATTCCCTGGCCAGGCAGGGACTGGGGCAGAATTCCCTGCCCAGGCAGGGACTGGGGCAGAATTCCCTGGCCAGGCAGGGACTGGGGCAGAATTCCCTGCCCAGGGAGGGACTGGGGCAGAATTCCCTGCCCAGGCAGGGACTGGGGCAGGTCTGGTGCTGCTCAGGCTGTGCCCAGCCAGGGCAGCTCCTCTGCAGTCAGCTCCTGTGACTCTGCTCTGCCTGGCAGCCCTGGGGGGGATTTTGGCTGCTCCCAAAAAGGAGCAAGGGCAGATTCCTTCCCCTGAGGCCCTGATCAGGTGTCTCTGTGCCTGCCCATGACCTTGGAGGCCGAGAGCTGTGGCCAGAGCTGGTGGCTGCAGTCCTTACCCCAGGGATTTATTCTTGCTATTTTTTCCAGACCTCTATTTATGTGCTCTGTAAGGAGATGTCGTGTTGGATCTGCAGACAGGGACCAGGTTACACTGTGCCTTGGGGGAATTACCTCTAGGATTTTCAAAGCAGCCCTTGGGATTTCCTTTGGGATTCTGGGAAGGCCAGAGCTCTGCTCCAGGCAGGGTAAAGCCCCCTCAGTGATCTGCTTTAATGTCCAGTCACTCCCTGGAGCATTTCAAGGATCTTCAACTCATTACAAATTATTGATTTTTTTTTTTTCTTAATATGCTCTGATGTTTAAGTTTTATTGCATGTTAAAATACAAGTAACTGCTAGAAATGGTTTTATTCTTTTTGGGTTTTCTAATAGAGGGAAGGAATTGATAAATTTTTTTTATAAGCAAGACAAGCTTGAGACTGTCTGGATGTGGGCAAAATCTCTTCACTTCTGTCTTGGCAGCCTTTAAAATAATTAGTTGTGATAAAGCATCATATTCCAAAAACATCCACCTCATAAACAAATATTTATCAAAGTTTGTTTGGGAATGAACTGGATATTCTTTGTGTCTTTTCCTCTATTCCATCTTTCAAATGTTCTTTCAGGGACAGAAAGTGATTTTTCTAGCAATGTGCCATCCTCTGTCACCACACTGGAATAATTTACCTGAATATATTATGTTTATGCTGTCTGTATCACTTTGACAAGCGCTGTATTTATTATAATCATTCTTATTTTCTTATGATTTTATTTATTTCCTAAATAAAGCTGACTAACTTAAGAAAGGCTTGGTGTTATTTTTGCTGTCAGAAAGGGAATTGAGCAGCTTGGAGATGTGATGATTTTGTTTGTTTGTTATAGAAAGAGCTGAGCTGTGCTGCACTTTCCTTCCTTGCTTTTTTCTTCCTTTCTTTCTGGGGAAGGAAAGAGCTGTGCTCAGGAGCTGCAGAAATGCCCAGAACATCTCTGGCCACTTCCCTCAAACCTGCCTAGCTGGGAGAGCACTTCCAGGCTCCTCAATAGAGCCCACAGAGAGAGCTTAGTTTAAAAAAAAAAAAAAAAAAAGACGGATATGGATCAAATCCATGCTAAATAAACAGACACGAAACCCAATGCCCAGCGCTCCTCCTTTCCAAGGCACAGCTGGCAAAAAGCAGCCGAACCTCAGCCTGAGCTGCTCCGATGATGATGGCAGGCACCCCTCGGACCCAAGGCTCTCTTCCGAGGGCATTTCCATCCCTGGGAAGGCTCCAGGAGCTCGGGCTGTCCCTGCCAGGCTCGGCCGGAGCTGGAGGAATCCACGGAGCCGCTTTCCAGGCGTGAGGCTCCGCTCCCTGCCCGGCTCCTCCTGGAAAGGGCTCCTCATTTTCATCTCGTTTTCATCTCCCGCACCTTCAGCCGCAAAAGTGTCTCGAGAAGGAAGTGGCTGACACTGAAAGGAGCTGGAATCGGGGCGATATCGAGAGCTCTCTGATCCAGCAAATCAGATTTTTTTTTTTTTTTTTTTTTTGGTCCAGATCAAACCAAAGGATGCAGGAAAAAATCACGTAGAATTTGAGGGAGTTCAATCAGCAGCGTTTGCTCTGTGTTTAACGGCCAGGTTGGCAAAAAGTCAAAATGCTCCTACAGCTATGGTCTGAAATAATCAAGGACAAGATTTGGAGGGAGAAAAAAAAAGGAAAAAAAGGGTTTTTTAATGGACTAAAGAAGCTGAAAAAAAAAAAAAACCCAGGCAAATCTTTGGCTTATAAGCCCTTGCTCAGGACAGGGAAAGAACTCAAGCCTTGCACACGGTGGTTTGAGCTGATGGTGTTGGTCAGTCTGGGGGGGTTCAGTGGAGAGGTGGTTCAGAAAAAAGGGAATAGAAGGGGAATGAGCAACTTTTGGGAGCCGCTTCTCTTGTCAGGGATGAAGTGACCGAGGAGTGGCCGCTCCTCCGGCTGGATGTGGCTCTCGGGAGCCCGGCTGGGTCGCCCAGCCCTGGGAGGCTCGGGGCCAGCGAGAGCCGCTCCTGCAGATCCCATCTCCACGCCAGGCCTGGAGCTCCGTGTTTGGGTTTCCATTCAATATTCCTCGGCTTCGGTCTCCAAGGCTACACGCCAACATCCAACCCCTCCTCCCACTCCTGTTTTCAAAGAAAGAAAAACACTGTGAAAAGAGGCTGCAACGATTTCTGGGCAGTTTTCAAAGCAGGGAGGCAGCGCTGGGAGCTGCTCTCCCTCCGCAGGCTCTGATCCAGCCCCTGCTCCATCCTGGTGCGAGCAGGAAAGCACCAGCAAGTGCAGGGTGAGGGCGAGCAATTAAAAGTTTTTAAGGAAAAAAAAAAAAAAGGGAGTTTAGAGTAGTTAACTACTCGGGACTTCATTCAAACCCTTCTGCAGAAGTTGGTTTTGTTTGGGAATTTCATAGCGGGGAAGGGGCCGGGAGCCTGTGCTGGAGGGTGTGGGGTTGCTGCCCCCAGCTTTGCACCGATTTTGGGGCTCTCGTTCATTTCTCTTCCCTCGCTTACAGAATAATCTGATTTAAGGGCCGGGTACTCCTGCCCTGTCCCAGCACAGAGAGCAGGGCAGCCTTGGGTGCCAAACCAGCGCCCAGCTGCTCCAGCTGCTGTCACAGCCCCGCTCCAGCACCTGCCAGGGGCCACCATCCCACCAAGATGGGACAAAGAGATGCAGGGGATAGATAGATGGGTGTGCAGAGGAGGAAGAGGAGGATGAAGAGAGGGAAAAAGAGAAGGAGAAAGGAAGATGAGGAAGAGGAGGAGAAGGGCAGCACCCAGCAGAGCCCTGCAGTGCGATCTGACGCCAGGCTCTGCTGGATGCTGTGACAGAAACACCTGCAAAGAAACCAGAGATAAATCTGGTTTATGTTGCTGTAATTATTCTGCTTCATTTCGGTTAGAAAATATAGGATACATCTCAAATTCTGTTTTTTGGGTTTTTTTTCATTTTAGTTTGAGACTTTTGTCCCAGCGCAATGTTCCCGTGCTCTCTGTCGGTGTGGAAAGGTTTCAGTCCTGTTCTCCCCGCGTACACCCCCGGTGAGCTCGATCCAGAGCTTGATTTCCGTGTCACACCATCCGCATTCCTGCGGCGAGCAACCAGCACGCTGCAAACATCAACCACGGGGCCGCGAGGAGGGTGCTGCTGCCCCGGTCCCCTCGGGGACAGGCTGCGACACGAACGCTGTCCCGGGACTGCAGCAATCCCTGCCATTTGGGACAAACGCAGCGGCCCCAAGGCACGGAGAGAGGAGCGGGGTTTCTCCGAGGGCTGTGGGCAGGAGTTATTTTTATTTTAGTCCTGAGGTGAGTCACACTTATCCCGGTGTGACTCACGGGGAGCTGGGGCCCGGGGCTGGGTAGGGATGTGGCACGGCGTGGCACACATGGCTCACACATGGCTCACAGGGCACACACATGGCACACAGGGCACACACACGGCACACACATGGCACACAGGGCACACAGATGGCACACAGGGCACACACATGGCACACCAATCTCCTTTCCTGTCCCCTCCGCAGGTGCAGCATCACACGGAGCACTCTGACACCAATGTTTAATGGGAAAGTTTGATGAAATAAACGATTCCCAAGTGGCGGGTGTTGGAAGGGAGGCTCAGCCCGTGCCGGGCCGCTCACCCCTGGCCCCCGGGAGCTGCTCACTTGCAGCCCAAGCTTTGTTGCACGTATGTTCTGAGCCCCGGCTCCTGGTGCTGCAGGAGCTCATCCATCACGGGCAGGAAAAGCCGTACGGACTCTGCTCGCGCTTGGCCCTGACCCGGCACTGGGAATCAGCTCTGCTATGGCCCGAGCAGCCTGGAAAACATTGCTTTTTCAGGATCGCTTTCCAACAAACAGCAAATCCTACACATTTCTTCTTGGCACAGACAGAAGCATTTTTACAGCGATTGATTTTCTCTGTGAGATTCAGAGAAAGGCTGAAAAGGCTGCTCCTGCTTCCAGGAATCCCGGCGAGCACAGGTCGTTCCCTGCCGGGACAATGCTCGCAGGCACTGCCCGCATCCCACCCCTCCCGCATCCCACCCGGGGCACCGGGGGAAGCCCTTTCCTGGCTCGGAGGGGACAGGCGGGAGGTCCCGCGTGTGGCAGAGGGTGGCGGTGCCTCTCCACGGGCGGTGGGTGCGTGGCAGACCCTGCGTGCCCCGTCCTGGCCCCGGGGATGCCGCCTGCGCTCTCCGGAGCACCGGGCAGGGCCGAGCCGGGATGTACCGAGCCGGGATGTGCCCCGCCCGTCCGGTCCGGTCGGTTCCTATCCATGCCAATCGGTCGCTGCGGGTGGGTCGGTGCCAGTCCGGTGGCTGCCGGTCCGTGTCACGCCAATGGGTCGATACCAGTCCGGTCCGGTTCGGTCCGTGCGGGTTCCCCCGGTGCCGCTGGCTGCCGTGCCGTGCCGGTCCGGCCCGTGCGGTGCCGGTGGGTGCCGCGGGGATGCGCTGCGCTGCGGTGGGACCGGACCCGTGGGAGGCGGCGGGGGCGGCCCCGCTAATTGCATAACCGGGACGTCAATGCCGGCGGGAGCGCGGGGGAAGCGCGGGAAGATGGCGCCCCGCGCCCGGCCCCCGCCGCGCCCCGCAGCCCCCCGGGCCCGCGCCCCGAGCGCCCGCTGAGCGCCCCGGGGGCACCGCGGTAAGGGCGGCCCCGGCCCCGCGCTCCGGGGACAGCGGGCGGGACGGGCGGACGGGCGGGCGGACGGACGGACAGACAGACGGCGCCGCGGCCGCCTTTGAATGAGCCAATGGCGGCGGGGCCGCGGCCGCGCTCGGGGCTGCCCGCGGCCACCCCCGGCAGGTGCCACCGGGACCGGGGCACAGGGCCGGGAGCTCCGGCCCCGCTGACCGGCACGGGAGAGGCGTGGGCGCTCCCACGCGTGTCCGGGGGGCCGGGGAGAGAGCGCGGAGCTGCGGGAGCCCCCGGGCAGGGAGCGGCGGGGGGGAGCGGAGGGAAGCGCGGGGATGTGCGGGAGCCCCGGGGGCGCGGAGCGGACGCGCTCCCACGCGGGGACCCGGCGGACGCCGCTGTCGGGACGTGTCGCGGCTCGTGAGCGCCGGGTTTTGCCGTGAGTGCCATCGCTCTGCCCGTCCCGGGGCTCTCGGCGAGCGGGAGAATCCTCGTGGATGGCAGGGGCCGGGCAGAGGGGGCGATCCGCGGCGCCAAGACACGCGTGGTGCCGTGAGGCCACATGTGTGGCCGTGACGGGAGCCCCAAGGGGGGAAAAGTCCCTTTCAAGGCGTTTCTGTGGTGTCCATCGGGATCGCAGCTCTGCTGTGGGTGATTTCTTTGCCTCCTGCACCCCAAACCTCGTGGCGGTGACATTTGGCGGCCCGGGTTCGCTCGCTGTGGGTGGTGCTGGCACATCCCTACTTCTGCAGCAGTCCCGGTGGTTTGGGAGCCCACAAAACTGCGCGGAAATTATGATTTTAAAATCGCAGTCAATTTAAAGCTTTTATTCCTTATGTACCCCTTCCCAAAACTGAACCATGCGGACGTGTGGCGTGTCCCGGTGCTGTGGGAGCCTCTCGGGGGTTAATTCCCTCTTGTTCACCAGTAGCAAAAGTTTTGGCTGCTCCCTGGATTTCGTGGAAAGGAACCATCGGCTCTGTTATGAGGTGTCCTGAGCCCCTGCTGGTGGGGCTGAACCACCTCCAGCCTCGGTTCTCCCAGGGAAAACGCTCAGGGATGCTGTGCCCGGCTGTGCCGGGAGGTGACAGCGTGTGTGTCCCCTGCAGGCTCTGCTGATGGAGAGCACGGAGCTGAGCCCGCTGATCCGGGATGTGTACGCGGCCGCCGGGCGCGCCCAGCAGGGCTCGGCGCGGAGGGGCAGCGGCTGCCGGGAGCTGATGGTCCGGCTGAGCGAGGGGCAGTACGTGCTGTGCCGATGGACAGACGGGCTCTACTACCTCGGCAAGATCAAGAGGGTAACGTGGGCACCCCCAGGGAACGGGAGAGCCCGCAGTGGTGCCAGTGCCAGCGGAGCCGGTGCCATTCCTTTGCTCAGGGGGTGTTGGCCTGGGCTGCCATGTCTCTTTGGGTAGCATGGCGTTTTGGGTTGACATCCTGCCCCGGGCTGTCACGCCCCAAACCTGACTGCCCGCAGCCCCGAGACACAGGATGAGGCACCGAGGAAAACAGGGAAGTGCTGGGAATGGGAGCTGACTCTCCACCGTTCTTCCTGCTCTCTTCTGGCAGGTGAGCGGCTCCAAGCAGAGCTGCCTCGTCACGTTTGAGGACAACTCCAAGTACTGGGTCCTCTGGAAGGACATTCAGCATGGTGAGTGTTGCCCCAGCCTTCCTTCCCCGCTGCCATGCTGTGGGACCCTCCCCGGCAGCACGGGGACGCGGCTGTGCCACCTCTGTCACCCTCGTCCCACAGCCGGTGTCCCGGGGGAGGAGCCCAAGTGCAGCATCTGCCTGGGGAAGAAGTCGGGCCCCAGGAACGAAATCCTCATCTGCGGGAAGTGCGGGCTGGGTGAGTGTGGGTGTCGCACCCCGGGCTCTGCAGTGCCCATCCCAGGCTCCGCCGTGCCCACCCCGGGCACGCTGATGCCGTGCCCTCCCGCAGGTTATCACCAGCAGTGCCACATCCCGGTGGCGAGTGGCGGCGAGGGCCCGCTGGGGACGCCGTGGTTCTGCCGCCGCTGCATTTTTGCCCTGGCCGTGCGGGTGAGTGGGGCTGCCCCGGGCTCCCGGCTCCTTGTGCTGCCCGTCCCTGGCACAGCGGGCCAGGACGTGGTGGCTGTGCCCGGGTGGCTGCGCTGACCCTGTCCATGTCTCTCCCACAGAAAGGCGGTGCCCTGAAGAAAGGAGCCATTGCCAGGACGCTGCAAGCCGTGAAGATGGTGCTGTCCTACAACCCCGAGCTGCTGGAGTGGGATTCTCCACACCGCACCAACCAGCAGCAGTGCTACTGCTACTGCGGGGGCCCCGGAGAGTAAGGGCCTGCCCGAGTGTCACGATGGGTTTTGTGGGGGGAAGGAAGATGGGATCAGGGCGGGGATGTCGTGCCTTTGCTCCCCGTGCTGCCTCTGCTGTCTGCGTCTGTGCTTGCACCAGAAACCCCAGTGAGGGACAGATTTCTCTCTCTGCCTGGGGTGTCTGTGTCTGGGGGGAACTGGGGCAGTGGCTGCCGCACGCTGCCCTCACTGTCACCTCCTGTCCCCGCCCAGGTGGTACCTGAAGATGCTGCAGTGCTACCGCTGCCGGCAGTGGTTCCACGAAGCCTGTACCCAGTGCCTCAGCGACCCCATGATGTTTGGAGACCGGTATGACCCCTCTGGGCTTTGCTGAGACGCCTCCCCAGGGGGGACTCATGGACACATCCCAGCTGTGTGTCCCTCCCTGATCCTTCTGTCACTGACATGGATCAGTGGCCCTGTCCCATAGAGTCCCCACTCCTCCCAGCCTTGCTGTCACCGTTGGCACTGTCCCACCTGGCCCATCCTGGGCCCTGCATGGCTGTAGGATGATCCTCACTCCCAGCATTTCCCCTGATGTTTTCCAGGTTCTATGTGTTTTTCTGCTCTGTATGCAACCAGGGACCAGAATACATCAAGCGCCTGCCCTTGAGATGGTGAGAAATGGGCTCTGCCTGCTTTGGAATGTGCCCAGGTGGCTCTGGGACACCATCCCTGGAAGTGTTCAAAACCAGGCTGGACGGGGCTTGGAGCAACCTGGTCTAGCAGGGATGATTTTTAAGCCCCTCTTCCACCACAAAGCGTTCTAGGATTGTGTGTTTGGTTTCCCCCAGCTGCAGGCAGTGTCCCACTTCTCCCCAAAGCTCCAGGGATGCTGTCCTGGCTGTGGCATCTGCTGGGATACACTCTGGGCTGAGTTGCTCCCCCTGTGTAGCGTGGGAAGGTTCCAGTGGTGGGTTTGGGAGGACCTGGGAGCTGTGGTGGCACTGGCAGAGCAAGGGCATGGTGGTGGCACCATCCTGCCAGGGCTGCTGACCCCATGCCCCTCTTTGCTGCAGGGTGGACATCGTTCATCTGGCCCTCTACAACCTGGGTGTGCAGAGCAAGAAGAAGTACTTTGACTTCGAGGAGATCTTGGCCTTCGTGAACCACCACTGGGACCCTCTGCAGCTCGGGAAGGTACAAACACACCCCGGGCTTGGGCTGGAGTGAGAAATGTAACCCCAGCTTGTGCAGCACTCGGCATGGAGCTTAAACCCCTTCCTCTGTGCTGGGATTTCCCTTGTTGGAGTGTCCTGACACCTTTCCCAATGGGAGCTAGAGCTGGGAGATGCACTCACACCAAGGCGTGTTGGAAACTGTCCCCGGGGCAGGACTGGGCAGCTCCCCGAGGGTGGCAGTGCCAGACCCGGCTGGCTCTGCCAGGTCTTGGCTCCCTCCCTCCCTCCCCGAGCTCGGGCAGGAGCCGAAAGCCGGAGTTCGGGTTCCCCCGTCTGTTTGGATTTTGCATAACCACAGCGGGCACTGAGCCCTGCCTGCCCCCCTGTCCCGCAGCTCACGGGCACCCCCATCTCCGAGCGCGGCCCCCACCTCCTGAACGCCCTCAACAGCTACAAAAGCAGGTGAGTCCCGGGCCGTAGGGTGGGATGCAGGATGTCCCCGTGCCAGCCTGGCTGAGGGCTGTCCCTCCCCTCTGCCGCCCAGGTTTCTGTGTGGGAAGGAGATCAAAAAGAAGAAATGCATCTTCCGCCTGCGGATCCGCGTCCCCCCGAACCCCCCCAGCAAGGTTCTGCCGGAGAAAGCCCCCGGCGAGGGCGAGAGCAGCTCCTGTGAGCTGAAGAAAGGAGGAAAAAGCAAATATGCCCATAAGGACAGGTGAGTGTCCCCTTTTCCCCGGCCATTCCCGCAGCAGCCCCCTCCCCTGCCCGCGCCCCCCTCACGCCCTGTTTGCAGCCTCCAGCAGCAGAAGCGGCGAGCGCGGCGCAAGAGAGCCAAGTTCCTGCTGGAGGATGCCATTCCCAGCGTGAGTCCTTCGCCCCCTCCTCTCTGCAGCCAGCCAGGATTTGGCAGCCGCGGGGCACTGCCCAGCCCTGGGGCTGCCCGAAAGTTTTCCCCATTCCTGCGGGCAGGGAGAGCTCCTGGGGAGCTCTGGGGAGTGATGAATGCCCGGCCCAGGGCGCAGGGTGCCGGTGCCAGGTGTGGGCAGCACCCCTGTGCCAGGCAGTGAGGGGTGAGCTTGTTTTTGTGACAGAGTGACTTCACCTCGGCCTGGAGCACCAACCATCACCTGGCCAGCATCTTCGACTTCACGCTGGATGAGATCCAGAGCCTGAAAAGGTCCGTGCAGCTGGAGCAGGGGTGTGGGGGGCCAGGGCTGCTGCCTGTGCCAGGCTGGGGGTGATGCTGCATCCCAGCCTGTCCCATCCCACCCTATCCCGTCCACAGTGCCAGCTCAGGACAGACTTTCCTATCGGATGTGGACTCCACAGATGCCACCAGCACCTCAGGCTCGGCCACCACGAGCCTTTCCTACGAGTCCAGGTGAGGACTGTGCCCCTTGCCCCCTTCTGGAGGGGTCCTGGTGGCATGGCCAGGGGGGCGAGGGCCTGTGTCTCCCCTCTTCATGTCCCACCCTGGGGAGCTTTTCCTCCGTGTGTCCCAAAACGGCCTGGGGGTCCCAGAGTGGCACTTGCTGGGTGTGCAGGATCGGAGCCGTCGGTCCTTGCTGGGCTCCCCCAAATTCCCGGCGTGCTCCCTGCAGAAGCCAGCACGGGGAACGAGGGTGGGCGGGGGGGGGGGGAACGACACTTTTTGGGTGCTGCCCTCACTCCTGCCCTGTGCCCTCCCCGGCAGCCGCAGGACCGTGGGCAGCCGCAAGCGCAAACTGGCAGTGCCAGCCTACGCCTCGGGGGCCAAGAGGAGAGGGGGCGAGCTGGGCGGGCGCCCGGTCGCCACCACCCCGGAGGGCAGCGAGGCGACGGCCGGCCCCGACCGCCCCGACGACGGCATCGACAGCCACACCTTCGAGAGCATCAGCGAGGACGATTCCTCGCTGTCCCACCTCAAATCCTCCATCAGTAGCTACTTCGGGGCCGCGGGCCGGCTGGTGTGCGGGGAGAAGTACCAGGTGCTGGCACGGCGGGTGACGCTGGAGGGGAAGGTGCAGTACCTGGTGGAGTGGGAAGGCACCACCCCTTACTGAGCCCCGCCAGCCCCAAAACCTCTCCCGGAGCCAAAGCAGAGGAGCTGGGGCTGCTGGGGAAGCCCGTGAGGCACAGGAGAGGTGCTGGTGCCTCCCCCCGGCAATCTCGGCGGGTGGAGGCAGCGCCCAGGCCGGCAGTGCTGCCAGGAATGGAACCCGAAGCCCCGACACTCTTGTTTTTTTTAATGTTAACAATTTTTAGTTCCTTGGCTGTGTTTATGCAGTGATGGAGCCCGGTGCTGGTCAGAGCAGTGACGGGGTCTGGCCCTTCCAGAAGAGTCCCCCTGGCACAGCTGGAGCAGCTGCTTGGGGGGCACCCCACACCCTGCTCACACAGAGGGACCTCGGCCTGTGCCTGGCACAGCTCGGCTCATCCCGGTGTCCCAGCCTGACTGAGCAGCCTCGAGGGGGTCCTGCTGCCAAAACACGAACCCCTCCTCATCCCTGGGCTCCCACAGCTCATCCCATGGTGCCCATGGGAAACTGGGGACAGCTCTTGGGGTTTTCCACCTCATCCTGAAGAAGAAGATCACGAATCAATTCATTAAAGGAATGTGGTTTGTTTTATATGAGAGGAAAATGCCCCCAAACCAGTCCACACGTGGCTGTTGCAGCCATGGGGCAGATGTGCTCTCACCCCACAACGTGGACTGTTTGTGGTGCTGCACCAGCTTCATTTCCCTGTTCTGACAATCATGATCTTGGAAGAAATTATCCAAAAAATCCTCCTTTGCCTTAAAACCACCATGGACACTTCACAGACTGGAGCCCAAGGCCTTTGTTTCTACAAGAATCTTCATCCCAAATGTGCCAAACCAGCAGACAAACCAAAAAAGGCTGAAGAGGACAGTGGGGGCAGGGGGCAGGGGCTGTACCAGGGTCCCTGTGGCCATCCCTGTGACCTCCTGGCTGTGCCTCTCTCGTGGTGATGTTTGTGAGCACTGGGCTTGATTTGTCTGCAGGAGAGGAGGAGCAGCCCCCTCCTTTAACAAAGCAATACTGCCAGCTTGGGCAGGAGCAGAGCAGTTTTTAAAAAAGATTCCAATATCAGATAGATGTGTTAGATTTTTTTTCTTTTAGAGAGAGAGAGATATTTTTAATGTGCCCCTCATCTCTCCCCCATCCCACCCTGGCCATCCCATGGGATGGAGGGTGGGCCATGCTGGGCTGTGGGGTCCTGTCCAGCAGCAGACCCTGTCCTGTCCTACCTGTGCTTGTGGGATCTCATTTGGAGCAGAGTGTCCCTGTCCTTTTGGGAGAGGTGCTGCCAGATCCCCTCCATCCCTGGCAGGGAGGGGTCCAGCAGCTGGAGAACTCCCTGTCCTGCCTTAGCTTTGTCCTTGAAGGATCACTTCAAATATTTTCCCTTTCTTAGTGCCTATGGAGCCCTTCCAAGGGGCTGCCAAGAGCTGTGCCAGGGCTGAGCAGGGTAATGCCTGTGGGATGTGCCAATGGACATCACACTTGTGGAAGCACCCACAGGATGTGGCCCTGGCTCCTCTCTGCTCCCTCTCTGTCCCCTCTCCTCCTCTCCTGGCTTCTTGCAGAGAATTGAATGTGGAGCCTTTAAAAGTATTTTTGTTGCAGAGTATATTTTGCATTCGCTGTAATAGAGATTATAACAACTCTGTGCACCTTCTGATTTCTGAGTTCAGGTTGCTGCTTGTAAGCAACTCTCGTTATACCCAAGTTGTAATTAATATGTCTGATGTACAATTAAAAAGTGGGTTTTTTTTCAACATCACTGTTCTTTTGTAGTGTGAGGATTATTGAGTTGGGATGCCCAGTGCCCAGCACGGGCAGCTGGTGCTGCTGGGTTGTGTTCTGTGCCAGCTGAGGTGGGCAAGCCCAGGACAGGCCTTGGCTCCTGCCCAGCTGAGACCACGAGACTCTGCCCAGGTAAGAAACGCTCCTGTTTATTCCCTTCCCAGTCACATAAATAACACAAAACCCAGAAGTTACATCCTAGAAACCATGAACATAAGGATCTTTTTACAAGGTTCAGCTTGGCTGGGTAGAAAGGCTCAGGTGGGGGTAGGGATGCAGGACTCGTGGTCCTGCTGGCACTTGTGTTCCCTGAGCTGGCTGTGGATGTTCCCCAGCTCTCTGTGACAGGCCAGACCCTGCTGCTCGCGGCTCCTGCTGAATCCTTGCGGCGTTTGCTGCTGTTTTCTGCTTCCTTGGATTCCGCAGGGCTCCAGCAGCTGCCGGCAGGGGCAGGGTGTCACATCCTGCAGCCTCCGGGCAGGGCGGGGCGGGATGCGGGGACAGGACGGCTTCAGGGCTGCCTGTGGGGACACATGGGCACTGCAGGGGCTGCCAGGCCACGGCTCCCAGCTGGAATTCGCTGCTGACAGAGTGTCCTGACAGGAGCCATCTCCGCGTATCCTCACCCGCAGCTTTTGGGGCAGGCAGCCCTTCCCCAGCAGCGGTTCCCGGCTGCTCACAGCTCCCGGGGCAGGCCAGGGAGGGGAAGTTTCCCAATCCCAAGCTCCTGTGTCACAGCAAACCCGAGAAGGTAAAAGCTGCAGGGTCCCGGTCTCCCCAAAAATGAGCCGCACTCAGCGCTCCTCAGTGCCGGGGGACGTTCTCGTCTATCCACTTGAGGTAGAGAGGGTTTCCTTGGTCGATGGGCAGGCTGATGATCTCGGGGATTTCAAAGGGATGGATGGATCTAAAGTGGAAACAGGCGCGGCGGAGGAGCGGAGTGAGCTCCAGCCCCAGCCCTGCCCCGCGCCCTCCCGCACTTCAAAGCACCCGCAGCTTCTTTCTGCCACGTGGGAATTCCGCTTTGAGTCCGGCCTTTACCACACACTGCCGGGGGCCTGGCCCAAAGCTGAGTGTGCTCCCCCCTCGGGAAATGCAGGAAATCCTGTCAGGGAATAATAACCTGTATGAGGAGGAGAATCCCTCCTCGAATCCAGCATGGAGAGCTGGGTGAAGCCCAGCAGTTGATATTCCTGACACCTTTTCCTTTTTGCTGATGCCATCTCTGGTTTTTTTCTGGCTTGTAAGATACAGCAGGAGCACTTAACCCCCCTGGGTGGGATGGGGCTCAAGGAACTCCCAAAGCTGGAGCAGGAGGTGACAGCCTACCTTGGATGGGACACCCAGTGCTCCTGTGGGGCCAGAGACTCACCTGACGTAGTTGGACAATTCTCCTATTTTGGACGTCCTTGTTTTCACCAACTGTAGAGAGTAAAAAACCAAAACAAACCCCAAGGGAGATGTGAAGGGATGGAGGGACCCTGATGTGCAGTTCCACGGTCCCCACCCAGCACAGCCAGGGGTGTGACAGGAGCTCTTTCCAACTCCCTCAGCTTCCCTGGGGGATGTTCCCAAACCCAGCAGGTTGGTGCCACTGTCCCCAAACCTCCCTGCAGCCCCTGTCAGCTGGGGCTGTCTGCAACAGGGATTTTTGTCATGTAGGGAATGACCACTCACCAGAAGTATTTCAGTGGATTCTTCCAGTTCTCCTTTCCAGAAATACCTGGATTTAAAAGAAAAGCAGCATCAGCAAATCCAGCTCTGGCTGCAGCCATGCCAACCCTCGGGTTATTTTCCCTGCTTGGTGCTTTTTGCACGTGGCCATTTCTTTACAAAGTGGCTCAAGAAGCATTGCTGGCCCCAAAACTGCTGAGCACACGAGTGAGCACCCCAGATTATGGGGTGCTTATTATTATGGGGTGCAGATTATGGACCAGAGCCTCCTCCAGAGAATTTACCCAGGGGGACTGGCAGGACAAATTCTCTGGGACGGGGGTGTCCCGTGGTGGTGGCCACGCTCTGCAGGGATGGTGGCTGGGAGGCTGAGCTTTCTTCCTCTCTTTCCCTGCAGGAGAGGAGCTGCACTTCTCATGAGTCAGATGTGACCTTTCAAAACATTTCTGCTGCCAGGAGCCCGTCCTGATCTCATCTGCCTGCAGGGCTCCTGCTCGAGGAGGGCTCGGAGGCGTCTCCTGAGCGGGGCACGGAGCAGAATCCAGCTGGAGCTGCCAGGGCTGGGCAGGAGCAGCTCTGCTCCTGCTCCCGGGGTTTGTAGGAAATGATGGATAAGGGGAAGAAGGGCATTGCTGGATACGGGGTTGCAGGGAGCACCTCCTGAGGGAAGCTGTGGTGGGATCTGCTCCTCACTCCTGCCAGGGTGTTTCTGTGAGGAAAAGCTGGTTTGGGGCTTTGCACTTGAAGCTCTGTAACAAGTGCAGTCCCTTTGCATGGACAGCTGAGGACACCTGCAGAGCAGGGCTGGGCCTGTTCCAAGGTCAAACCTGCTGTTCTTCCTGCCTGAAAAAGCTGCTTAATTTCGTAAAGGCCTTTTCTGGTCTCTATATTGGCTGCATTTTAGAGCCTCTAATAACAGGCACCATGTCCTCAGGACCATCAACCCGAAATTGCTGGATGTCTGTGTAGCCAAGTAACCAATAAATGAATGATCCCCATGGGCAGTCAGAGCATCTGCACTCCTCAATAAGCCCTGAGCACGGTGAGACTGATCCCCATCATCTGCAACAACAAACAGACCCAGCAGCCTTCTGGAAACTGAGGCCTGTGTCCATGCCCTCCTTCCCTCCCTGCAGAGCCCAGGTTTGCCTCCTCCCTTGGGGAATATCCAGCCCCACTCACAAGGCCGAGCTCTTGGGCAGGATGTTCACGTAGGCAGCCAGTTTCTTATCCATGATGGCCCTGGGGGAGACAGGAGGGCAGTCAGTGCCAGCCCAGCTCAGTGCTCACCCCCAGCCTTGGGGACAGTCCCTTGTGCTGCCCCAGGACTGGCAGCAGCAGCTTTGACATTGGAGACATGGAATTTTGGGTTACTTATTACCCTGAGAAAACAGAGGCAAAGGTGAACTTTGGCTGGAGATACTTCAGACCAAGCCCTCCTGGCAGGGCCCTGTGCTGAGGGGGGATTTTGGGTGCTGCTCCTGGCCTGGAGGATCCTGCCCAGTGCCAGCCCTGTGCCCCTCTGGCTGTGGGACTGAACCGTGGGACCACAAGAACCCAGGGAAGGATGGGGAGGGGTTTGTCTGCCACTGTCCAACTGTGCCCCTTCCTCCCAAATGTGCAGCATTTAAAATTAACAACATCAAGGTTTTCCAACCCAAAATGTCCTAGAAATCTGAAGCCCAGATAAATTCCTTCCCTCTGGCTGCCTCCATGAGTTGTGGGCTGGTTTGTTATTGCAGAGCTGCTCAGGGTGAAGTGACACTTCAGTGATTACAGAGCACTGAAGCAATCTCAGGGAGGATTTTCAGAAGAAAAGGGGCACATGTTGTGTTTTGTGAGCAGAGCAGTGCCTGGCCCTTCTCATGGAGGTTGCAGCAGTCCCTTCAGGCAGGGCACCAGTGACCCCACCTTTGGTTTGGGGGGGACCATGTCTGGAGAGGAGAAGCAGCCCAGGAGGCTCAGGCTTGTTTGCTCTCACCATGTGTAGGCAGTTCCAGGCATTTAATGCTCGTGGAGCATCTTGAGTTAATCTTTAGACCAACAGAGTGCAGCAGCACGAGCAGAGCCACCCCTGCTGTGCCTGTCGTGTCACACATGGCATAAATCAGTTTGGATTTGCTGCCTGCAACTTGCAAGTCCCTTTAGCACAGGAACCTTTTGGTTTTGGTGCTCTGTCTCAATAAATTGAGATCCTGAACTTTGTCCCAGCAAGCTGAGCAGCAGCGAGAGGCCAGCAGGGGAAGAGAGAACATTGTAAAGAGCTGAATGTGACCTGTGGAAAATGTCTGCATAATGCATGATAGCTTTGGGTTGGGCACTTAACTGTGTGTTTCTTTGTCTGTGCCTCACTCTGGGCCCTGAAGTGAGACAGATTAAATATTAATAAGCAGAAAGGCAAAGAAAATGATAAGCACAAATCTAAGGTGGCAGTGGGGACTGGTGGGGTGCTGGGCAAGTTGGGTGAGGTGCAGTGGCCACAGCACCCAGCCAAGGGCGTCAGCTCCTCCCAGGACAGGCAAGAAGGTCTTGACATGCTGAATTCTGCCTGCAAAAGCTTGAACCCCCTTTCCTTAAATCAGTGGAAAATTTCCTTGCAGGCTGATCTGAGTGAGTGCTCCACTGAGCAGTGCAAAGGAAGAATAAATACAACAGCACAGGAAAAAGGAATGGGGGAAAATGAGTGTAGAAGCCGTGTGTCATCCCCTGCAACCTCATTGCTCCCAATTCCAGAACAAAGGAATAATTACTCCACCAGTAAAACCACAACCAAAGTAGACATATCTCAGCGAGGGGGAGTGATTTATCTCCTCTCCCTTCCCTGCAAGATGAGGAACAAAGAGTGGAAAGCATTTGCAAAGCTGTTGGGATGAGGCATTTTCAGGAACTGAGGCTCTTTTCACCAGGTACAGTCGCTCCTTTTTTTTTTTTTTTAGGAGACATCGAGCAGTGCAGACATAATTCTATTTGAATTTCTTAATACAGATGCAGTATTTAAGATGACACAAACTCCCTTTCAGTAGCCTGTCAGTTCCTGAACATGTTTGGGAGCATTTTGCTGGAGATGGAGGGGTTTTGGCAGCAGCAGGGCAGCAGGAAAACAGCGCAGGAGGTGTTGCAGGAAACTTCACGGTCCATCATAAACACTTCCCCAGTCAACACGGGTTCAGTTCTTTGAACAGAACATCCATTGAGTCAGGGACTGACAGGAAAAAAAACTCTGCATGCAAAATATCATGCAGAGTATCTCATATATTAAAATAGGAGAAGGAGAAAATCGAGGGAAAGCCCTCATTCCCTGAAGTTTGCCTGGTGAGCAGAGTGGCACCTCACGAATGTTTGTTGTGGACCCCTTTGATGCTTCCTTTATTTTCAGTCAGAGCACTGTGCTTTTTCCCTCTCTATAAATATCCCTCCTGGCATTTTGTTGTCTGTGTTGTTCTAGAGAGGAATGAAGACTGTGGCAGATCAGAGAACATCAAGCTGGAGTTTAATCCATCTGAGAACCCAGAAATTCCGGGTCATGAAAATGGGTCTTGAAAATGCAAGGCAGTGAAATAAACAGAGAATTATTGCTGTTACCGTGGCATTGACTTCAGAGGCAAATGTCAGCTTTCCTTGGGGCAGAGCAGCTCTTGGCAAGGGGGTGTGATACAGAGTCAGTGGAAAGGAGCACGGCTTGGGTTTGGGCTGGGAGGGAACTGAAATTTTATGTCCCTCCACTCTCTGCCATGAGCAGGAACACCTTCCACAATCCCAGGGTGCTCTAAACCCCATCCAACCTGGCCTTGGACACTTCCAGGGATCCAGGGGCAGCTGGAGCTGCTCTGGGCACCCTGTGCTAGGGCCTCACCCCCCTGGAAATGCAAAGTACAGCAGGACAAGGAGATATTCAGCTTTATTCCGGCTTTGGAAGCCCTGAAGGCAGGGAATGTGGCCGTACCTGGCGATGTCCCTGGCGATCTGCTCGTTGAGGCAGTTGATGAAGGCAATGGAGTGTGTCCCTGGGATGTAGCTGCCAGTGACAGCAGAGTGCAGGTGCAGAGCCAGGCCCTGGAGCAGGGGGTACATCAGCACCAGCAGGGTCAGCACCTCGGAGACAACACCAGGGGTGATGGGAGGTGAAATGCTGCACTTGGGAGAACAGAATTCACATTGCCCGTGCCTTGAGGGGCTTCTCTCAACATTGCAGGAACCGGCAACTTAATTAAATTGGATTGAATTAAGGTGAGAACCTGCTCCTAGGGGGATTAATTCCCCTCCAAAAGGACCAATCTGGTGCTCAGGGCAGGAGAGGGGCAGGTTTGAGGCTGGATCAGCCCAGGAGTGCCCAGACTAACAGGGGTTACAGACCCAACCACAGCAGCCAGGACTGGTTTTTCTGAAGAAAGGAGGTAAGACATGGAATGTCTTGGTTTGTAGTGTAAAAAAGAGCAAGAAGGGAATGGCTCCCACACCCAGCACATCTGTCCTGCTCAGGACATGTCTGTAGCCATCCTTTAGCAGTGTGCCAGGGCTGAGGTGTGTCCATCCCTCTGAGAAATGGGGGCACGGGACCCTCTGCCTCCCTGGGGAATTTCCATCCTGCCCTGCCAGGTTATTGTGCTCTCCCACCCAGACCACGCTGCAGCCTCACAGCCTGGCTTCAAAACGAGTTTGGAATTAATCTCATCTGAATTATCTGCTGCTAAAATCACAGTGAATTCTGTGGAGCACAGAAATCTCAGTGTGCCCAGCCCAGATCTGCACGAACACCAAAGCTCTGCCCTTGGCCTGGCACAGCAGCAGCAACAAGTGGGGTTTGCTGGGCAGGAGCTGCTATTCCTGGCAAGCCCCTTCTCTGCTGTTTGTGCTCACAAGCCATCAACAGCCTCCCAAAAATATATCACGATCCCAGTGGGGATGCTGTGGAAATGGGGAGGTTAATTTGGAGTGCTGAGGAGCAGCTGAAGGATGGTGCCATTCTGGGCTGCAGTGCTTTCCCTTTGTCTTTTGTTTTGTTTTTGATAGAAACAGCATCTGGCTCTGATTCAGCTACAGTGATTTTTAAAAATGCTTAGAAGACTAAGAATATGTTCCTTTTCCCCCACTATTTCCACCCTCATTTGTCCTGTGAAAAACCTGCCATTACAGCACTAATGTAGAAATCTCTCATTTTTAAAAATTTTTATTTCTTAAAATGGAATTAAAAATCACTCTTGCCACCACAAAGCCAGGAGTTCCTTCCCATTTGGAAAATGACTGATGTGCTGTATTGCTTGTCTCCTCTTTCCCAATCCATTTGAGGAAATATTCTTTGTTACCACGAGACTTCTCATCATAATTTTTAGAGCTCCTTCTGCGCTCTTTTGTTCCCACTAAGCCATTTAACAAACATTATACAACAAATCCCAGAAGCTACTCAGTGACTTACAAGCCAAACAGAGATGTGCTGGTGTACCTATTTTTCCAGATTAAAATGTAATCATGCTCCTTGCTCAGGAAAAAAAAAAAACAAACATCCAACCTGTTCAGTCTGCTGATCATTAATCTTCTTGTAAGATGTTCGTGCATGTGATGAGGAAATCCCCAGGATCACTTGTGATTGAATATTGCTACAAACATTAACTCTATCTTGGTTTTTTTTCTGGTTTTCCTCCCCCTTTTTTTATGAAAAGGAAGATTTCCCCCCTTTTTCTTTCCAGAATACTTGTATTAGCCAAAAGATGGTACAAAAGAGGAGTGAGACGTCAGGATTCCTGCCTGATAAACTCATGATTGCCAAAATACTGAAGTGAACCAAACTGCAAATACCGCTGTGAGGATTTAAGGACTTCACTGAAAAGCATCAAGCAGCAAAATGCCCGTTTAGTGCAGAGACTGAGGTTTCTGCAACATTTCTTTTGGCTTTGGTGAACTAAAACCAACCTTAGGTTTAGAATCACCATGCCAAGACTTTTTGCCTAGTTTTGATGAGATTCTGTTAAAAAACCCCAACTGAACGACACCACCTGAAGACAACTTGTGGTGATGCTGAGTGTAAGAAAACTCGAAAATTTGCTTTTCTCCCAGCAGATCCAGGCAGTGCACCCCTCCTGCACGATGCCTTTGGAGGGAGGTTTGCTAACAAAGGTACAGACAGGTATTTCCATGGTTGCTTGGTGTGGGTTGGTGTCTGCTGTGCTCCTCAGGGAGTGTCCTGTGTCCTGCATCCCCATCCCAGCCCCGTGTCCATCCCAGCCCTGTGTCCATCCTCATCCTATCCCCGTGTCCATCCCATTCCTGTGTCCATCCCCATCCCAGCCCTGTGTCCATCCTATCCCTGTGTCCATTCTATCCTGTGTCCATCCCCATCCCAGCCCTGTGTCCATCCCATTCCTGTGTCCATCCCCATCCCAGCCCTGTGTCCATCCTATCCCCGTGTCCATCCTCATCCTATCCCCGTGTCCATCCCATTCCTGTGTCCATCCCCATCCCAGCCCCGTGTCCATCCCAGTCCCATCCCCATCCCAGCCCTGTGTCCATCCCAGCCCTGCGTCCATCCTAACCCTGTGTCCATCCAGTCCCATGTCCATCCCAGCCATGTCCCCATCCCATCCCCGTGTCCATCCCCATCCCATCTCCGTTCCCACCCCTCCCCGTGCCCGCCGCAGTCCCGAGCTCGCACTCACCAGCAGCACGGTGCCGCGGCCGGGCCGGGGGCAGCCCTGGGCGGCGGGGGGCAGCGGGCAGCGCTGGCTCAGCCCCTCCATGGCCCTTCACCTGCTCTGCCCGAGCCGGGAGCGCTGCCTGGACAGGCGGCACTGACTCCTCCTCCCCCTCCTTCTACTCCTCCTCCTCCTCCTCCTCCTCTCCTTCCTCCCCGCTGGTGCCCGCCCGCTGCGGGACAAGGGACAGCGCGGTGTCCCCCCCTGCCACCCTCAGCCTGTGCACCTGCCTGACCTGCAGAGCTGGGGGGACAAATATCGGGAACTGGCACCCCAAAAGTGGGCTCAGACACGGGGTGCTCCCCGCACCAGCATCTGCTGGGAGTTCCAGGCTGTCCCTCCAGTACAAGCACTGGGACCCTCCCAGTTCGGTGCCGGTGCTCTGAGACGCGCTGACGCCATTTATCACCTTTGCTTTGGCGATAAAACCTTTGCTTTCCTTGTCTATAAAACTTATTTTCTCAGATTTCATCTGGTTGGGGCTCTTTGGGTAGAAAGCACCGGGCAGCTGCTGAAGTCCTGGCGTGGTGTTTGTACCCAAAATCTGCTGTAAGGGGCGCGGGACAGAGGAGCCGAGCGCTGTTTCTGTCTCGCTCTGTAACTTTATTTTCCCCCGTGTAACTTTTTACTGTTCCCATAATCTGCTAGGAGGATTCATTCCCTGCCAGCCTGCAGAACAGCCGAACTCCCCTATCTATTCCATATTTATTCGGGGGATGTAATCTTTCGCAGAGCTGGAAGCACAAAGTTGTCGAAGTTATCTGGCGACATCAATTTGTTCGCAAAAGGTGAGAAAATTCAGTTTGAGGACATGAGGGGTGGCATGTTCTCCGCAGCCCAGGGAGCTGCTCGGGGCGAACACCGGGATGGCACCGGCTGTTCGGGCTCTCTCGGGATCTTTCCTTTCCCGAACCCAGATTAACACAGTTTATTTCAGTTTTTCCAAAAAAAGAGCGACACCGTGCACCGAACTCCGTCCCCGACAGGCACCGAGACCGACCACGCCTCCCTCGCAGTGGCCACGCCCCAAATTACCGGGACCACGCCCCATTACCGGAACCACGCCCCTATTACCGGGGCCACTCCCCACCATTACCGGGCCATGCCCCCGTTACCGGAACCACGCTCCTCCATTACCGGGACCACGCCCCTATTACCGGGACCACGCCCCGCTATTACCGGGCCACGTCCCTTCATTACCAGAACCACTCCCCCTCTACCGGAACAACTCCCTGCCATTACCGGGACCACTCCCTCCATTACCGGGACCATCCCCCGCCATTATCGGGCCGAGTTCCCCCATTACCGGGACCACGCCCCCATTACCGGGACCACGCCCCCATTACCGGGACCACGCCCCCATTACCGGGACCACGCCCCCTCCGCTCCCCAATGGGGCGGAGCCGAGGAGCCATTTTGTTTACATTTTGCCAGACGCAAAGGGCGTCCTTAGCAACGACGCGGCGGTTGCTAAGGGCTACCCGAATTCTCGCGATATTCCCGCCCGGCGGTTGCTAATGGGCGACGCGAGTTCTCGCGAGAATCTTGGGACATGGCGGAGGAGGCGGCGGCCAAGATGGCGGAGGCGGCGGTGGAGCTGCTGGAGCGGGCGGCGCGGCGGGACGCGGCGCTGGAGGAGCTGCGGGCCCTGCGGGTCGCCCTGCAGGCCGTGCCGCCCGCCGCCCTCCGCGCCCGCCTCGGCGAGCACCACCTGGGGGCTCTCTTCGGCCTCCTCGCCGTCAATGACCGGTGAGCTCCGGCGCGGTGCCGCCGGCCTGTGCCGCTGTTTTCCCGGAGCGGCGGGTTCCTGCCGCCTCTTCGGTTCATTCCTTGTCTTCTTTCGGTGGCACAGCGGTGTCCGTCTCCTCACGGGCTCGGTTTTCTCTCCGTCCCGCCTAGGGAACAGGTATCCGCGTGTGTTTCCATCCTGGAGAGGCTCCTGCAGGCCCTGGACCCGCTTTACGTGATCCAGAACCTCAGGGAGGAGCTGCAGAAGGGCCTTTTGCACCCCGATGACTCCGTGAAGATCCTCACCATGTCCCAGGTACAGGGCTTCTCCCAGGAGGAGGGGACAGAGCTCTGGGTTAGTCCCCAGCTGCTCTTTCTTGCCTCAGTTTGTGATAAAAGCAGGAATTGTGTCTTTCCGTACTCCGTTTGGGATAATTATCGTGCAGTGTGTATATAATGCTTTATGATATCTCAGTAATAATGGCCAAAACTATGTCCTGACAAAAGCAACTTAGTGAGTAAAACTTCTGCCACATGTCCTGGTTAAAGCTTTCCAGGTCAGCACGGGATGTAAGAATTAAAAGCAGCGACATTTTTTGATATTCAAGGTATTTTAAACTAGCGTGGAAACACCTAAGAGGCTGTGGCAACTCGACATTTGTATTAATGTAAAAGAACAGGATTGTGGGATGTTGTGGTTTGGGATGGATTTCTAGAAATTCAGCGAAGAGCAGCTACTCAGGTGTTGTCCAGTTGAGTTTTGATCCGAAAACATAAAAAAATTCTGATTCTGGCTTTCTTGTGCAGTTGTTCCAGTGTTTGAGTATAAAATATTTAAATGTTATTTTCTGTAACTCTTTGATCAGGTTGGGAGGATTGTTGAAGACTCAGCTGCTGTCACAGAAATTCTGCACAGCCCCGAGCTGTTACGACAAATCATAAACTGCATTGGTGGGGAGAAAATAGCAGTGGCCAAAGAGGTAAACGTGGCTTTATTGTCCCATTCCTCTGCAAACTCAGGGAGTTGGATGACAATAATAACGAGCTCTCATCAGTGAAAATTGAATTATAATTAAAACTAAGTGTATATGAACATTGCAACAAAATCTGATAATCTCGGATTTTCTCCCCTGCGTGGTTTTGTTCCTTTTTAATAATGAGCTCCTTTTTTTTTGCTTGCAGGCCATTA